TAATATTTCTATTATATATTTTTATCTTATTAATCAAAGATATATAGTTTTTAAAAATGTCAATGGAGAATGATACTTTTGACCTGAAAATGGCCAATTTTGTGATCTGCCACTAAAACGCTTTGGCACAGCAATATGATACATTTTAAGGATTTTTTATATTTGTTTTGGCCCCGTTTTCTGCTATTAACTTTTTAGTCGCTCAAAGTGTGAAACAACTGAAAAAAACCCTACATTTTATACATTTAAGGGCCTATGAAATATAGACTATACTATAACTGCTTTAATACAATGAAATATTCTTATATATATTTTATATAATAATTTATTTTTATATAGATTTGTATTTTTTTAAGTCAACATGTATAGCTTTTTTGAATGAATGTCACTATGTTCCAATAATGGCCACGGATATATTGTCATGATTTTTTTTTGGTGCTGTTTTCCATAGCTTTTCAATCACTATTTTTGAGTCACACCCGAATGTTTTTTCCCTTGCACTCCTGCTATAAAGTTTACAGTTTATTATAAATAGTATAATACAGTTCATTATACTGTTATACAGTTTGTCAAATTCAGGCCATATGATGTTCAGATCATGCTGCACAAAAATGACCAGATGATTTTTGTTCAGTGATGCAACAAAGAAATCTAGCCGTGAATATGCAGTGTCACCTTTGCATATTGCATCACTTTAGAACTAAAAAGCTACAACTAGCTACAGTACAACTTCAGAATCTGCAAAACCACCAGGAGGCGCTGCATTCAAACAGGAAGTGATGCTGTTTCAGTCACAGATCAGTTTCCTGACCCACCTGAACAGCATCAGTAGTTTAAAACACATTTCTAGATGAATGTTTCATAACGAGGTAATTGCTTTATAAGTGATCTGTGCAGTTAGTCTGTTAAATATGTGTGTGAAGATGATTAAAACCTCCAGATTCCTGTTTGACAGATGCAGGGTTGGCCTGGAAAGCGCAGTGCATCAATCCACACGACTGGACTCGACGACTGACCGTCTGTCAGATGTGAACGTGAGGCTCTGGTTGCTCTCTATTGCTCTTCGGTCCTCATGTTTGTACTGAGTGTGTGTGTGATCTGTGGGTTTCGGCGCAGGTGTGTGAAATAATGGACTCCAGTGACACATCAGACCTCTTAAAGAGACGCGTTTCTGCAGGGTTTCATAAGGCCCGTGTGCGTCTTCCACCAATGCAACCATATTAAACCCTTGTTATGAAAGCATAATGATGCATTTAACGCATAGATGACGAGATGAAGAAATGAACTGATCAGTTAAACTGATGGTGACCCAATGTGAGCTACAGATTCTGATCACCGATTTAGTTTTTGTGTTTCAGTCAACCTGTGCATCATAAACTGCCGTTTTAGTTGATATGCATTTATCTGCAATGTGACTTTGCACATTCATTGGGGAGGGAAAAAACACTCCATTCGTCTCCACTTATGCAAAACAATCTGTTGCAGCACTACAGGTGTTTGGGAAAATGCTGCAGTGCTTTGTGTTGGCATGAAGCGTTTGAAGAGAAAAGAGCAGCCGAGGCCTCCTTGTTCCCTAACAGCTAAAATCATGTTAGAAGAGCATTTTTACCTGCATATTACTAGTTATGTGCATATGCATGAGGGCTGAATCTTAACATTTAGCCTAAGGGTCAAATGAATTAATTTAGTTTTAATTTTTTAATGCATTTTGTTTCTTTTTCAGAATTGTATTAATTTTTATTTATGACTTTATTTTTACAATTTATTTTTTAAAGGTCAAATATGATTAAAAACGTTTTTTTCCCTATTCAGTAATAATAATAATAATAATAATAATATTTTTTACTCTGCTTTTTCTTTTTTTCTGCTTTATTAAATTATTTATTTTCTATGTATGTATTTTTTTATGTAAACACCCGGAAAGGTCAAAAGTGTTTTTTCTCTATTCAGTTCACTTTTTATTATTTCCCCTTAATTTATTTTGTTTCTTTAATTCTTTCTTTATTTTTCATTTAAACTTCACGATTAAAAATGTTTTTCTCTATTAATATATATATATATTATTCATTTTATTTTCCTTTCCCCTTAATTTCTTTTTTCTTACTTTTTTTTTTTTTATGTAAAGCTCAAAAGTTTTTTCTCTATTCAAAGAAAACATTTTTCCCCTTTTAATCCCCCCTTCATTAATTTTTTTCTTTATTTTTTTCTTTAAACATCTCGAAAGGTGATAAAAGTGATTAAAACGTTTTCCTCTATTAAAATATATATCTTTTTTTTGTCTTTTCATTTTCTTTTTCCCTTGATTTATTTTTTCCCTCAATTTTGTGTAAAGATCAAAAGTGATTTAAAAGGTTTTTTCTCTATTCAGAAAAAAAAATGAAGTGACCCAAAGTTGACTCTAAGCTTATTTCAGCTGTCATTTGTTCTCCATGTTGCGCGCACAAATATGAAACAATTACTAAAACTCGTATATCTCGAACCAAGCGTTTACTCTAAGGTCGTGGCAGTCATAAAGTTGTGCTTTTCCTCGCGCGCCCTGTCTGTTCGGAGCGCTCCTGCAGTAGATGGCTGTAAGCGCACACTGATCCGGAGGAACGCTACTTCACCGTTCTGTCAATAAAACACTCCAGGAGCCGAGAGAAACGCATCACAGGCTGATCTGCGTGTTTATTTAATCCACATTCTCCCTCCGTTAGCGAGCGCGTGTCTCGATTGGGATTGTTGAAGCCAGAGGGACACTTGGAGAGACTTTGTTCGCGATCGCGCCACTGGACACCTGCGCGTCCGCTTCACCTTGTGCCAAAATGTTGCTCTGAACCAGTGTCTTTTTCACGCAGAGTGGATTTTTTGGGGCTCGATCGTTCCGTGGGTCCGTGTGTGTGTGTGTGTGTGTGTGCGTGTGTGCGCGCGTGTGTTTCTGAAGATCAGACACGCTCCTCCTGATCGGGTGTTTTCTCATTGCGATCTGCTTCCATGTTTTTAGGTTTATGTGATATTTCTAAAAATGCATCATCACCATCATCATCACCATCATCATCATCAGAGAATGGCCGCGTTAGGGACGGATAAAGAACTGAGCGATTTGCTGGATTTCAGCGCGGTAAGTCACTTCGCGTTTCTGCGCGCCGGAGGTCAATGATCACACTTTGTTTCGTTTGGTCACATTTCATTGTGTTTCTGTGCGCGCAAATGATTCAGTAGAAGTCTTGTAAGATGACTTTTGCGCCGCGTAAATTGCATTTGAAATCTGAAAGAAAGTTGCAAAAGCTTGTGTGGATTTGATAGATGTGATGTTGCATTAGTAATTCTGTTGTCTTATAGATGCGAAACAGCGATTTGAAAATGTTCCCCACATCAATGGTAGTATATCCCACTTTATTCAGTCTTTTCTTGTGTTTTTTCCCTTTTCTTTAATAGATTCATATGTTGTGTTGAACCGTAAAAAATGCTTCTAATGGAATTTCTCGTCATTATAATTTGGAGTCACTCCTAATGCAATTCTATTCTCCTGGAATTCCGACGAATTCTAGATTGATCCCATTAGGATTTCTTCCAAATTCTGATAGGAATTCCATCAGAATGATTTTTGACAATTAGAGTAGATTATAGTGGTTCATCTGGTTCAGTAAAAAAAAAAAAAGTGCAAAATGTGCATCCTGTGAGAAATGCTTTTGGGAAGTTTTCACTCAGGAAATGTGTTTTTATGAAGCCACAGATCCAAAAATATTCCAGCTGTCTGTGTGCAGCGACTCTATTCAGACAGACAGAGGCTGAAGTGACAGTCGGGCTAGTTTCTGCACTCAGGACACTTGATTATGTGCAATTTGGCTAGGTTTTGACATTGCAGTCGGATCATATTTGAGTTTAACGTAGGTTAATCAAATTAAATTGCATGCATTTATGATCTAAAGCAATGCATTATGCCGTGATTAGCATGTTTGAAATGCTTTTAACCAGTGTGTGTTTTATAGTCTTAGATTCAGGGTGGGTTATGAAAGTTTTTAATGTGTTGCCATGATTGTTTTGTAGATGTTTTCCCCTCCTGTCAGCAGCGGGAAGAACGGACCGACGTCTCTGGGAAGCGGACATTTCTCTGGCTCAAGTATGTCGAATGCATCCCAACCTTGTGTTTTTGCCGGGTCGTTTTGTGTAACGGTCCACTGAGTAATTATAAGCTCGGTTTAAATATGCAATGCATGCGTGTGTGTGTGTGTGTGTGTGTGTGTGTGTGTGTGTGTGTGTGTGTGTGTGTGGAGAAAACGCGACCTGCAAACTTCAGGTGTGTGTGTGTGTGACATGCACAGTTCACAGGCTGTGAGAATTTTGCGTTGTGATGCGAGTTTGATTGTTGTGGCAGATGTTTGGGTTTGAGATGTCGCACGACGGCGTTGGGCTTGTTTTCTGCACAAACACGCTCATGCATAATTTGTGCAAAATGGATGCCGCACCTGCAGGCTTCCTTAGATTTGTATTGTTAAAGTGTGCGTTTTATAAAACGTGACATTTTATTACGCCTTGGGTTGCATGCGAGAGCTGGTTTTAATTCCTCCTCTGATGAATGTTTCCTGCGGCGGCAGCAAATAAATAAATAATTGCAGCCACAAAAAAAAAAAAGAAAAAAGAAATGACCTTGACCCTGGAGGTGTGTTCAGGAAGTAACTGCGCCATGCATGCTTTTTCCAGCATGCATTTGTTTTCAAATGCATTGCAGTCGTGATCCGAATGCACAGATGGAGGGCAGAGACGGCGTTCACTAGTCGCGGCCTTCGTGTTTTCAATGCCTGCTATTGTTTTCTTCAGACTTGAGTGTTGTTTAGGGTTCGATCATTTGCATGCCGCCCCCCTTCTTTTGCCCCTCGGTTCCTGCGCCTTTGCCTGAATTGTGTCGCAGTTTTGCGCTGTTGGAAAGTCGGGCAGGAGGATGGAGGGGGGTCTGCAAACTACAGCTTGTCTGTTGCCATGCAACTTGGCTTGGAATTGCTGGGAAAAGTGCGAATCGTTGAGAAAAGAGAGGGGAAAGAGACGGCGTATTAAATAAATAACAGGAACGTGTGGGCACGCTGCTAAATTTGCGAAGTATTTATCCGTTTTGAGCCCGTATCGTGGCCCGTCTCCCGTGCCAGTCTCGGAGATTTCGGCTAACGGCAGATAGGCCCGGCGTACGTTTGTTCTGCTAACAGCCGTAGCTTATTAAGCCACATTGAAAAGTGGGGTTATTTTAATAACGCGCTTGTACGCGGGCCGAAAAAAGTGCTGGGCGCAAAGCCTGCTGCTATTTGCATCACTCTGTTTTGGTTATGCTTGTCAATTAAACGCCGGCGATTGCATTAAGCGCAGAGATAAAGACAGAGAAGAAGATTTCTCCTCCCACAATCCAGCACCTCTCAGAGCATCTTTGTCTTTCTCTTAGCGAGCAGAACGACGGCAGAAAAGGAGCCGAGGCGGCGAGGGGGAGAGATGCAGAGGAATATCAAACCCTCTAATTGTGCCTGAGATTAGGAATTAATGAGCGTTTTAGCTTGTAATAGCAATATTATTGCTACAATTTGCTATCTAATGCTAATAATGAGCCGGCTTATAATAGTCAGACTTGCTGGGGTTATTTCTGCTCATCTTTTTTGGTTGTGTGAGATAAAGTTGCCTAAAAATGTCCTTCTAGCAACTATGAAATCACTTTTTAACTACACTTTTCTGGTTAAAATGACAAAACTTACAATGCAGAAGTGGTCTATATGTCTCCTGAAGTCATACGGCAGCTTTTGCATCTCATTAAAATCAGTGATCTCTGTATGCTTTCGAATGGAAGAGATGATTTTTAATGAATTGTGACTTAAATTTGGATCTCGGCATCATATGACTTCAGAAGATGGGTGTGTGTTTGAATACACACACATATGTTATACTATCTATATAAAATTATTAGTGTTGTCAAACGATTAATCACATCCAAAATAAAAGTTATATATTAATTATATATTTATATAAAATATAAATTATATGAATATAAATATATACATGTAAATATTTTCAAA